TAAAAAAATGAGGGGGACTAGGCCAAAACCTCGTAAATAAAATACTGATTAATGAAATCTAAGAGAAGCAATACCAAACAAGTCCATAAAATAAGCCCGTCTATCCATATGAGGTAAGTTATTTGGGCTATAATATTCCTCCGTTGGGCCCAAGTGGGATTGGGCCAAGAAATGAGCTGCACCGTTAACCTCTCGATATGCATGTCGAAAGGATAACCCTTTCTTATTCCCTGCCTGTATGGTTTCCTGAATTAGATCTCTCCACCTTCGAACCTCAGGATCTAGAAGAAATTTCACCGCCATAGCTGAGTCCGTTTCCACCTTGAAGTCACTATAGCCAGCACATATCAACCACTGAATAGCTTGAGAAATAGTCTTCAATTCCGCTTCAAGCGCTGAAGAAGCATCCACATCAAAATTGACCGCACGAAGAAGGTGGCCACTGCGATTTCTCAGAATCGCACCTCCAGCTGCTGATCCAGATAAGTAACGAGCATCTGTATTTAGTTTCATCATTCCTTTTGGTTTACTCCATTTTAAGATCTGTATGGTATAGAGTTTGCTGCGGAAATCCTTAGGAATTAGGTGCTCCTCATACAAAATCTTATCAACCGAGTGAATTTTAACTCCTTTTAGAGAATGAGACCAGGCCTGAGTGTAATGTTTAATGGTATGAATGATTCTTGTAGCAGACGAAATTGCATTCCCTTCTCCCCACTGAAAATTTGCATAAACCTTCCATATATGCCGGGAAATAATACCCGAAATATTTTGCCTGAAAATATCCAAAAGATCTAACGAACCAGTCTTGAGCCAACAGCATCTGAATACTTGACGAGAAATAGACTTCTCCTAGGTGTCTATGTTTATCCTCTTTATGGAAAAGTTTGTGTCTAAGAGAGAAAGGGTTCTAGAGAGAGTTGAGAGTGTCTCTCACTAGGCTTCTCCTAGGTTGCTCCCTCTTCCCCCTTCTCTGGTTCGGCAGCACCACATACGGCGGCGGCCACCGCCGGAGTCCTCCCGGCTCTGGCGGGCCTCTTGGTTTCAACCTGTTTTTGGAAAATGACTCACCATTCCGGTGGTTGAGTTTCTTGGGAGCTTCGAAAACTGCTCGTGGCTATGGTTTTTCCGGTGGATTCTCGCCGGAATCCGCACATTCCAACAAGATGGACTGCTAGTAGCTTCGGGCGCTGGTTTGGGGGGCTGGGACGAAGATGAACGAGTCTTTTTTTGAAGAGTGGGTGGATGGTGGCCGGACTACACTGGCTGAACTAGGCTCAGCGGTCTTGTTGGATGGGCTGGTTTTAGAAGGTAAGATCGTGGTCGTTTTCCTTGGCCGGAGTATAGGGATGCTAGCAAATCTGGACTTCAAGCAGATACAACCAGATGGGGTCCGGCAGTGTTCATGGCCGGTCCTGTCATTTTGTGGGCCTATGGGCGAGAAGCTAAGTTGGGTCTAAATTTATAAGCGAAACATAGATTATAATAAAACTACCGAATAATTGAATAAAGGTAAAAAAAATAAAGATGAAATTCACTTTATTAATATTTAAATAACATGTTTGATGAAATGTAAGTATCACATAAAAAGAAAAATATTACTTAAAAACGTTTCTCGCCGAACACTGTGAAGCAAAATCATCAATAATTGCTTCATAATCAACCTTTTCCAAGACTTCATGCTCAATGCTTAAAATTGCTAATCCATTCAGCCTTTCTTGAGACATAGTCGATCGCAAATGATTCTTCAGTATCTTCAACTTTGAAAAACTTCTCTCCGTTGTGGCAACGGTCACAGGTATTGTCAACAGTATTCTGTAAGCAATTGTTGTATTCGGATAACAACACAAGTTCTTCACAAAATCAAGAATTTTAATGGCTGTGTCCCTATCATCCGGTAAAATATTTTGCAACATTTTCAATTCTTGAAATAAATCATCCATATCAATGTCTTCCTTTTCACCATCTTGTAGAGCTTCTGCAAGTATCTTACAAGAATCTATCAACTTATCAGAATCCAATGATTTCAAGTTCCTTGAATTGAACAAGAACCCAAAAATACCTTGAAAAACATTCATCTGATCAAATCTACTTTGCAGAGAAACCAAACAAGCATCCATTACAACATTAAAATAAAAACACTTAAAAGAATCTTGAGGCGACTTATCTTCATCATCTTCTTTATCTTCATCAAAGTGTTTTTTCCTCCGGATCGATCGCCTTTCAGGAAAACAAGGTTCAAGCCCCAATTCTAGAGCAATACCTTTTGCTCTACTCATTGCATCTTCAAACCCCTCATTTCGATACTTGTTTAAATAAATAATCAAAGCATTCATATTTACTATACAAGCATCCATGCACATATCTTCACTTTGTAATAATTTACTGACTTTATTAATGGGATGCAAAACATCATACCATATTACCATGCCCAATAAGAATTCAAACTTTTCTACTTGTTTCAGCACACTTTTAACGTCATTTTTAGACGAATAATCAGTGCAATCTTTTCCCAGTTCAATCAAAGCTTCTCGTATTTGCAAAGTTTGGGTTACAATTGCTTTAACACTTTCCACATGACATTCCCAACGTGTGGTGGACAATGACTTCAAAGTTAAACCCTCTAAATGCTCTTTCAAAATTGCCCATCTTTTTGTTGAACCAGAAAATAGTGTATACAATTTCTGAACACATCCAAAAAAAAGTAACCGCCCTTGAACAAGATTTAACCATATCAGAAATTGTTAAATTTAGACTATGACAAGCACATGGCATGTAAAAAGCTCTCCGGTTCATATCAAGTAGTCTTCTTTGAACACCTTGATGCTTACCTTTCATGTTAGACCCATTGTCATAACCCTGTCCTCTAACATCATCAATATCTAGCTCAGATGAAATCAACACACGCTCTAATTCCCCAAAAAGCCCCAATCCAGTTGTATCTAGTACTTCTAGAAATTCCAAAAAATATTCAACAACTTCTGCTTTGCCTGATGACATATTCACACATCTTATGATTAGAGTCATTTGTTCTCTGTGACTTGAGTCGGGTGTGCAATCAAGAATAACTGAATAGTACTTCGCAGCTTTAATTTGATTAACAATTGTACTTTTCACACTCGATGCTAACCTCAGAATCAATTCATTTTGAATTTTGTGACTCAAATAATGATAGTGAATCTCACTACATTGGATGCGCCTCACATGTTCTTGCATAATGGGATCAAACTCTGCAATCATTTCAATGAACCCTAAAAAATTGCCATTTTTTTCATCATAAAGTCTGTCACTACTTCCACGAAAGGCAAGTGATTTTTTACCAAGAGTCTTTACTAAAACTATTATCCTCTTAAGAACATCCCTCCAGTGCTGCTTCTCTTTTGCTAATTTTTCCTGAATAGCCGAATCAAGGGTTTTTTGTTTTGCCAATCTCATCTTTAGTTCCATCCATCTTTGCACACTAGTAAAATGTTCAACACTTTTTTCATGGGTAGAAAGCTTTTCGCTAAGATGTTTCCAATCATTAGTTCCTTCATTAGCTAAATGATTGGGACCTTCTTTTGTTTTAAACAACTTGCAACAAAAGCAAAATACTTTATCCACTTTTTTGGAATACACTAGCCATTGTCTATCTTCGCTTTCTTTATTTTTCATGTTCCTAGTATAATAGGCATTTGAAAAATGTCTAAACTTGGCATCAAGAGGATAATTTAGTTGAGTTTCCCTTATAGGTCCTTTTTCAACTAAAATATCTTTCATTTTGGCATCAAGGTTCCCCCAATAAACCGGATCATATATATCAATCACTGAAAAATGACCCCTCACTGATTTATTTTCTTCACCTAAATCACATTTATCTGGCTCAGTTTCAACATTTGCAGCTTCTGTACCAATATCATTATTCCCAGGCGTGTTATTATTTTCATTCGCATAAGAATTTAACGGCGATTCAACTTGAGAAGAATTTTCAGGATTCAACTTCTTAACGAAAACATATTTTTCCATTGCCCCCTTTTGACTTAAGGCTGCCTTATCTAATCTTTGCCTCTTTTTCTCTTTTTCCCAACCAGATTCACCCATTTTATCGAGCACCTTCACAATCGTAAAAAACAATAAAAGAATTCAAAATTGCACGATAGGGTCCACAGCCAATAGCACACAGATATCAATTTAACAAGACAATAAAAATGCATCATATAACAAAAACATTTTCTTATATACAAATTGCAATTGCAAGGATAAATCATAAATTATCAATCATAACTCAAAATAAATTCTAATAGATTGAGGTTAATTTACTTACCACTGGTGACTGACAGATTGTTTGAAACCTTGAAAGTTGAAAGAAGGTGTTCTAGACTTGTAAATTTGTAATTACCGACCGACCTTTGGGCTCCTCGCCTCCTCCGTTCCTGGATTGATTGGCAGACTTGAAAAATTGAAGGCTTGCGCCTTGCCGTAACAACCGAACGGCCAGTCGATTTGAAACCTTCTCAATCAGTTATCACTTAGGCAACCTTGAACAATTGAACCTTGGTTACTTGATTTCAAAATTGAAAACAAACAAAACAAAAAAACAATGAAGTGGCCGGCCAAGTGGGTTATTGCCTTATTGGGATTTGGGAGTTTAATGTTTGGGAATTGGGATGGGGTAGATGGGAGAATTTGAAGTGTTCGGTAATACGGAGTACGTAATATGTACTTAGGTAGTTTAGGGATTTGGGTTATTGAGCCCCTGGGGATTGGGAGGGACACATTACATTCCTTTTATAATTTTTTATAAAGTTTCTTTTATAATTTTAAAATTATGAACAAAATTAAATCATGGGCCTAATTAAATGAGTTTTAAAATACAAAAAAGATTATAAAAAAAAAGATTATTCAAAAAAAGAATACAAAAAAGAGTCCTACTCACGCTATATATAAAGAAAAAAATTTAAGCCTTTTTTTTTTTGCTATTTTTTCGGTCCTAGGGCGGTCGCCCCAGTTGCCCCCCAGGACCGGCCCTGGCAGTGTTCCTGCTGGTTTATGCTTCATGCGAGGAACGGTGTGTACGCCTTCTTTCTTCCTCTTTTCAATCGCAATCAGGGTGAAAACTCTCCGGTGGTGCAACTCTGTAGTCATCGGACTTGGCGCCGGAATGGTTGGGGAGTTCTGACTTGTCAGAGTCCCAGAATGTCTAGAGGCCTGCTTGCTTTCTTCCCTGTACCAGAGAGCTTCGCAGATGGTTCTTCCTCCATGGGTGATGGCATCTTCTGTGGCAGCTCCGGGTGAGGGGGTCTCGGTGCAGAACTTTCACGCTGCCATTGCCCCTCTCTGCTTTGTTACGGATCCTTGGCTGGGCCAAGGTCTTGGATCTGGACTTCGCAACCACCATCGTCTCATCGTCTGAAAACGGGGAAGCTCTACTCCGGTATGGTGTCCCTGTTAGTCAACCTTTCTGGTTGAGGATGTTTGTTAGTTTGGATGACCTCTTCTCTACATTTCGCACCTGGGGATTTCCGGCCTTGGGGGTCGTGTTTCTGTAAAAGCTTTGTGGGGTTGTTCGTTGGAGGAGATGACCGATTTTGGTCCTGGTTGCGTTCGATTTTTCGATTACTGTCCAAACGCCACTCTTTGGCTATCCACCTATGCCGCCGGGGTCGCCGGGGCTCCACGGCGGTGGGGAGCTGGGAATGGATTATGGGTTGGCAGCTTCTTTTTCCGGCTTGATTTGCAGTCCAACGCTTTTCCGGCCACAGGATCGTCTGGTGGACGCTGGAACTGGATGGGGTGGCTGGGGGTGGGGGAAGGGGGAAGTGGGGGCGAGGCCAGCTGGTTTGACCTTGGAAGTGTAGTCCCTGCGGCGCTGACCGTTGTAGCGATGCTGGGCCTTAGGCATTTGGGCTGACCCGGGTATCTCCTAAACCCTAGTCCGCTAGGAGTGCAGGTGAATTGGAGCAGGCTGGATTTGCTGTTCTCGGGCTTGGGCCACTGCACTGGGCTTCTCCCTGACTTCAGCTCTGGTCCGCAGCTGCTGAAGGTTATTGTGTGATGTTGAAAGGATTTTTTGGGCCTTCACTGGTCCAGCAACTTGGAAGTTGGAGATTATTTTTGTTGGGCTGGACTTTTTTCAGGGATAGAGCTTTACTGACCCGGAACTGATTTATGACTTTTTAATGCGGGTCGGGGCCTGTCCCGAGCTGCTTTGACTATAAAAACTTCTCTCCCCCTCCCACCTCTCGCAAAGGGGTGGGTGGGGGGTTGAATGGTAGATACTATTTTTAGTTAGAATAGCTAGCTAGATAGTTTTTGATACATTGTATGATGTTATTTTTGGGTGTTAAATAAATTTACCTTTCATCCAAAAAAAAGAGAACATTATGGAAAAGTTTGTGTCTAAGAGGAGTATACTGTTGTAGCTAAGAACTTACGTACCTTGTTTTGGGTTGCTATTTTTCTTTTCAAATATTTTTTTTTTTACAATTTTTATACATAAAATGAATGTTTTTATTAAATATATATGGAGTGGCCTAGGTCAGGCCTAATATTGCCCATTAATTAGCTACAATCTTAAATGAGTACGTAGCTAAATTTTGATTTGTAAAATTATAGACCGAGCCTCTTTAGGTCTAATTTGATTTCTTATTTAGATCTCCATAAAGTATCACATTATCTAGACATGTTAATTAATATCATTTCACAAAAGCTAAACACAGATTTAATCACATGTATTATTTTTCTTTTAACATTGGGGCAAATAATAAAACTACTGGGGGCGTACAATAAAAATTATTGGGGGCAAATTCCTCTTATTTGAAATAAATTATATAAATTCATATGTATTTATCTATCTATATACAAAAGGAGGTGGATTTCAGCCAAATTTCCCGCCTAAACTACCAGGTCAGCTATGGGTCGAGTCTGGGTCGGGTCAGCACTAACGGGTCTGCCAACTCCACTTATGTAAAAGTGTAAAAGTACACCTCAATAAATGCTTACCCATATGAAACCCAGCGGATAAGAAGGCAATAAATGAGAATCTTGATTGAAGATTTTCTCTTAAAATCTACGATTCCCGTGATTCGAAGTATATGTAAAAAGTACATATCATTTAATCAAGACTTTAAAATTGTAGAGTACATGCAGTAAACTTTGTCAGACTTCTTTATGCATTGTCAATTCGACATTTAATTGATAGCTTGCTCTCTCATTGCCCATGTCCCTCCAAAGATTGGTGTATTAAACACAATATTTTTTTATGAATATAACCACCGATCAGGACAAAAGAATCCCCACCAAACAAACTAATATTCCTTCTCATTTTCCCTTCTCAAAGCACAAGCATCGTGGAAACTGGTGAGAACTTGGTGTCGATGTCATATTCCTTCTTATGCACGCCGTAATCCAAAATCGTCATCCAGATGTTTATGTCTTGCAACCAGTTAAAACCATCGATTTCATCTGGAACCGCCAAGCAGTCCATACCGCAGGACCTCACATTGAATGGCGGCGCTTCTGGAATTGAGGCTGTGATTTGGTGAGGAAGAGGCAGAGCATTGGGCAATTCGACGGCTAGGTTATATATCATCTATTGCAGCGGTGTAAATGGAGGGCCATAGACCCCTAACCGACCTCTAACCCAGCAACGCGGCGGTGAGCACGCTGGCCGATTGAGAGAGCTCGCGACCTGGTGTCTCACCAACCTGTTTTCCAAACTTGGAGATGGGGACGGTGAACTTAGACTTTCTGTTTCAACTATGGTGCCCAACATAGAGACATCGCCAAAATCCAAGGACCTAGGGGAAATCAGCAAAGTCGAAGGAATGGAAACAGTTCCGCGGCGGGGGAGGTCGCCGGTAGCAATATGTTGACCGGATATTTCAGTCAAGTCCGCTACTCATGACAAATTTTCAGTTTCTGGGTTCAAATTTTTATTGAAAGTAAATACTTCCATTTGATATTATCGACTTATCTTGAGAATTTTATGGATTATTGGCTTATCTTGAGATTCATAGTTTCTATGAATTTTGATCTTGATAAACAACAGAATGGACGAATCTGTGCTTCATGAAGCACTGCATGCTCCCAGAGTGGAGTAGTAGTGATTGGAAAATTCTGGTCCAAGATGTTTTGCAAATTCCTGGTAAGATTTGTCCTCTTACATTTCCATGGATTTGGATTTGGAGTAATTCCAGACTGCTTTTAAATATCAGGCATATTATATTATCAATCTATGTATATAATCCATATATCAACAAGCTGTTATTTTGCTTTTGAACAATTCTTGGGCTATTTCTTATCACACACGGGTTGTGTGTGTAAATATGTGCACATAATTTTTTTAATTATTTTTTATGTTAATTAAAAATGTCTACATAATTTTATCGTGTTACTTATAAGATAACCTCTCATGTTTTAAATTCTTCGCTTATGAATGTTGCGGTATGTATTTAATGTCTTCCCTTATGAATAATGTTACAGTATGTAAACTGCATTGCAAGGAACATGGTTGGGTTTAGCTGCCCTGCGAAGAGGGAAAGAAGGGTCCAATATGAGACTGAATTGTTTTAAATGTTGGAATGGTTTAGGGTGTTTCCGTTTCCCTTGACCGAGAAAGACAGGCGGCATCGACACCGACACACCCTTAATGCTTTAGAGACGCATTTGTACGCACGAATATCTAATTTAGTGCGATAAAGGTTTAATTCATGATAAATACTTAAATCTTTCTTCTTTTTTTCACCCGTAGTAGATAACTCATGTAAACTAAGTTTCACAAACTATGAAAATGAGTTATATTCAGAGTTTCATATTTTTCTTAAATATAATTACCAGTAAGAAAATCATTTTTTGTTGAGCAAGCTTTCAATACAATCGTGTATTTCTCGAACAATCTCAAAAAAATCATATGTTTGAATGTGAAAAAGCTAATCTACAGTTTCAACTTCATCTACAGTACTCCATATATTAGTATGTCAAGGATGATCATATTTTAAGCTCTATGTCGATGTAAAGGCCCGTGATTTACTGACTAAAAGGAATCCCGACTATATAGGGTTGATTATTGTACTTTTAATTGTTTTGTCTAAAACATTGATTTTTGAACGATTTGTGATTTGTTTATGTGTGATTTATATTTTTGATGCTTTGTTTAATCATGACACATTGGGACATCATTTTTCATGGACATCATTTCAGATTCATATATACCAAATTCTTTTAAATTTGGTGTCAATTGAAAGTGAATTGCCCATCTTCAATAACATAGGGACATCTGGCAGATAAATAAAGAACATATCACCATGACACAAAGCACCTACATTAAATTCGGACAATCATCTATTTGTAAAATAAACCAATGATGAAGAAAACATGATTCATAATAAAATGCAATCCGTTTAAAATTAAAGTTTATTTTTGAATACAATAGTGTTAAAAACCGAATTATAAAATTCAAGTAAGCACTCAGTAAAATAAATTTGACTACCTGAATTTATACTACTGGATTTTAAAAATGCCATATTGCCATCTTAAAAAAATGCCACAATGTGGCAGGCATTATTTTACAAGTTAATAAAAATACATGTGCCCTGCAACTCAAATCCTTAAAATCCATGGTTGAAGCCTCCGATTTTCATATCCAAAATTCACAATCCAAAATTTTCAAATAAAAAATTACATTTTTATTTAGATTCTAAAGAATACACAAAGAAGTTAACAGAAAATTTAACAAATGCAAGCTGCATAGAAAACGAAAGAGAGGGTGGCAGAAGGAGAATGAGAAGAAAAGAGGAGAAGAGAAGAAGGAAAAAGAGGAGAAGCCGCAGAGATGGTGGACAAAATAAATAAAGAGAGCTGGAGTCGGTTTGGAAGATTGATGCAAGTACATTGTAATACTCCGAATTTTTATCATGGGGGTTGGGGTACTTGGGGTTAAACAGGATATAACTGCTTCCTTGGCATTTCGAACTCATGAATGATGACTACCCATATAGGAGAGCAAGTCAGCGACTAAGTGAGCTGGACCGCTTTATCATAATACTTCGTAAATATGTATTCTTCTATCAAAAATATTGCCCTCATCGGCTTTCACCAAACTATTCTTAAGTATAACTTCGTATATACTTCATAATTTTTTATTACATACTAGGTATTGCAATTATTATTTTATAATTTACACATTTTATTTGTATAAGAATTTTTTTCACTAGTAATGCTAACAAATAATAAAATATAATTGGTGCTTAATTTTAATCCGTGCATCGCACGGGTGATATTCTAGTACTACTAAAGGAGAAGTTGTTGGGGGCATGTGCCCCCACTACTAATAGAGTAGATCCGCCCCTGGACCGGTCTGACACTGATATATGTGGTTGGGTTGAACTCGCAGGACCCTCACTAACTCTCGGTCGACTCCGTTGGGAAGGTCAGGGGGTTTATCTGAGCCATCAGGAGTATAATGTTGTTCTGCTGGCACTAGCGTTTGATAGCTGCATCATTTGGATCGGCAAGTTGCAAAAGAGACACAGTAGAGGAAGTGGAACAAAGGAAGGGTCATTTGTGACCTTCTGCAGGTACTTGAGAGCAAGGGTGATGACATTTTCGGTAGATAGTCCGCGGTGAATGGTTGGGGTCATCCTGCAGAAACGTCGCACCAGCATTGAGAACCATCACATGTATGGTAGATGTTTGACTTGATTGGTTTCGTTTCTCTTCCTGATCAGCTCTTTAATATCATCCCAGATCAGGGAGACGTAGTCGTAGTCCTTGCTGAATGCTACATCGTGGAAGATCGTCAAAATGTATATGATGCACTTGTCGAAGCCAAAGTGATTGGCAGTGAGGCACTTGTTGAGCGTTGCTAGCATAGTCCTCCACGGTCTTGGTAGTCACCCCAGCTGGACTTGGGAGATGGGCTTGATCGGGGTAGCATGACCCAATGCAATCATATCGACCATGGTTTTCTCTTCAGAGGCCAGTCCTTCGTATTGAACCTGGGCCGAGATCTGTAGCACTTGATGCAGCAACTCATTGGTGATTATCACTTCAGTGTCGTCAATGGTGACCTTCAAAATTCTAGCACCAGAGGCATCTCGGTCTTTGTTGAGTGTTCCACAGAATTGTTGGAGATAGACCTCTGCTACTTCAGTTGTTTTGTGCAGGGCTCTCCAGATTTTATGCCCTTTGAGTATGGCCACCACGACATCATTTTGGCAAGTGAAGACTTTAGGGTCTAGCTATGAGTTGTTTTCCTTGATCGGGTACCAACTTTGTTTTCCGTAGATAGCTTTAATTGTTGGTATGGCTGCCATTTGATCTGAAAGTGATAGACATCAGTACTTGATCAATGATTTTTTTTTTGAAATGTGGCGATGCTTGCGTTCGTCGCGGCCATTTTGCTGAGTGGTAAATGGGTAGAAGATT